TACCAATGTGAATTTTAAAATATTAATGTTCACATCATAAAATTGCTAACCATTCAAAAAATATTTATTAAGAGTATAAAATTAAATACAAGGGCATAAGTGTCCAAGAAAATAGTGTAAATCAAGAAAATGGACTTTATGGAATAAAACTATACATATATGGGACTAAATGGGTTAAAAAATTCCTTCATGGACTTCTTAGGTTAAAACACTTCTAAATTGGACTTATTAATAAAAACCCCTTTTAATTATTAAGGACATAAAAAAAATTATGTATTAATAATTATTTTTTAAAAGTACAATTAATTTTTATTTTTATTATTATTATTTTTTGAGATAAATTACACTGACACCCCCTGAGATTTATGTTTATTACAATTTTCTGCTTACCTTTTGAAAATTACATCTCCCCTGAGGTTTGAACTATCATTGCAGATTTCCCCCTCAGCAATCTTTGGGTAAATTGCTCCCGGGTTAATATCATTGACACCCCTGAGGTTTATGTTTATTACAGTTTTCCCCTCACGTTTTGGAAATTACATCTCTTCCTAAGGTTTAAAGTTTCATTACAAATTCCCCCTTCAGCAATTTAATTTTTTTAAATACCAAATTTGCCCTCACTTGGTAAATTGCACTAACACCCCTCACATTTTAGAAATTACAATCCCCTCCCTAAGGTTTAAAATAGCATTACCAATTGCTCCCGGGTTAATATTAGTTGGAAAAAAAATTAATTGAAAAAAATATTATTTGAGAAAAAATTATTTGAAAAAAAATTTGTTACTAAAATTTTTAAATTTCTATTTAAAAACCAACATAAACTTATTTTTTAAATTTATGTTTTTTTCTCAAATTTACAAACTGAGACAACAATTTATAAACAAAAAAATTATTAAAAAAGTTTTTATGACTGTTTTTTAAATTTTTGTAAATATAAATTGAAAACTGAAAATGAAATAGTTACCAAACAGGCCTCAGATAGTAAAAATATCGTAAAATTAACAAACAATTAAATAAGTTACCAACGTAAGAAATAACTTATCAAAAGATTCTTAAGCTATGCATGATTTGATTTTTAGAAAAAAAAAATTAAAAATTAAAAATTAATTTGGTTAAGAAATGAAAAATAAAAAATAATTATCATTTAAGGGTAAAAAATAATTATCATTTTAACTTGTGGACAGGTTATATATATGCGTATGGTTGTTTCAATTTAATTTATAAAAAATTATTTCTAATCGCTCGAAAGATAAAAATTATATAAAAATAATATTTATTTTTTATTTTTTATTTCTTAACCAAATTAATTTTTAATTTTTTTAAAAAAAATTATAAAAATCAAACCACACATAGCCTAATAATCTTTTAATAAGTCATTTCTTACGTTGGTAATTTAGTTAATTATTTGTCAATTTTATGATATTTTTACCATCTGAAACTTGTTTGGTAACCATTTCGTTTTCAATTTTTAATTTATATTTACAAAAAATTTAAAAACTGTCATAAAAACTTGTTTGATAATTTTTTTTAGTTTATAAATTGTTGTCTCAGTTTGTAAATTTGAGGAAAAAACGTAAATTCAAAAAATGAGTTTACGTTGGCTTTTAAACAAAAATTTAAAAATTTTACTAACAATTTTTTTTTCAATTAATTATTTTTTTCCAATTAATTTTTTTTTCTAATTAATACTAACCGAGGGGGCAATTGGTAATACTACTTTAAACCTTAGGAAATGAATTGTAATTTCTAAAATGTGAGGGGTGTCAATATAATTTGCCTAATGAGGGCAAAATTAGTACTTAAAACAACTAAATTGCTGAAGGAGGAATCTGTAATGAAACTTTAAACCTCAGGGGGAGATGTAATTTTCAAAACGTGAGGGGGAACTGTAATAAATATAAACCTCATAGGGTGTCAATGTAATTTACCCTTAATCTTTTTAAATACCAATTTTGCCCTCATTAGGCAAATTGTATTGACACCCCTTACATTTTAGAAATTACAATCCCCTCCCTAAGGTTTAAAGCAGCATTACCAATTACCACATCGGTTAGGATTAGATGGGGAAAAAAATTAATTGAAAAAAAAATTAATTGAAAACAAAAATTAATTGAAAACAAAAATTTGTTAGTAAAATTTTTAAATTTTTATTTAAAAACCATCGTAAACTCATTTTTTGAATTTATGTTTTTTTCTCAAATTTACAAGCTGAGACAACCATTTATAAACCAAAAAAAATTATCAAACAAGGTTTTATGACAGTTTTAAAAATTTTTGTAAATATAAATTAAAAACTGAAAACGAAATGGTTACCAAACAGATCTCAGAGGATAAAAATGTCATAAAATTAACAAATAATTAAATAAGTTACCAACGTAAGAAATGACTTATCAAAAGATTCTTAGGCTATGTATGGTTTGATTTTTAGAATTTTTTTTTTAAATTAAAAATTAATTTGGTTAAGAAATAAAAAATAAAAATGATTATCATTTAAGGGTAAAAAATAATTATCATTTTAACTTTTGGGCAAGTTATATATATACGTATGGCTGTTTCAATTTAATTTATAAAAAATTATTTCTAACCGCTTGAAAGATAAAAATTATATAAAAATGATAATTATTTTTTATTTTTTATTTCTTAACCAAATTAATTTTTAATTTAAAAAAAAATCTAAAAATCAAACCATAGATAGCCTAAGAATCTTTTG